AGAGGGCTTTAAAAATGGCTCATTGCCAACAGCTTTCCCTTACTCAAGCTATGGGGTTTCGCAACTACTATATGCATATGACGTCCTGAATTTTTGTGAGGTATCTCCTAGGGCTGAAATTGTGGTTAATAACATCCAGGATTCTTTATGTGGGGCCACGGGGCAAAAACTCACTGCCATGAAAAGCAAAATTCTATTCTTTGGTGGTGGTGATGGACTCAAATCAGAAATTAAGCATATTCTCCATTTTGAGGAAGGGGGTTTGCTAGAGAAATATCTAGGCCTACCCCTTTTTCATAGCTCCCTAAGAAACTCCCACTGTTAGGCTCTAGTGGGGAAGATATTTGCTAAAATTGGGTCCTAGCAAGATTTAATGCTATCTTTTGCAGGCAGAAATCAAGTCAATCTTAAGTGCTTCTTCGATCTACTCTCACTCTATCCTTCCTCCTGCCGGTTCGCACATCTCAATGTTTTAGAGAGATGTCAGTGGAACTTTCTTTAGGAAAGTACTTTAGATATGTGTAAAGGAATTAAATCTTCTAAATTGGGAGACTATCTGCCTTCCGTTTGAGGATGGTGGTCTTGGTATTAGGCATGTACATGATGTGAACCTAGCTGGCATGATGAAGAATGCTTGAAGGCTGGTTGCAAACCCCTCCTCGCTTATCTCTAGATTTTTCCAACACAAGAATTTCAAAAACTCCTCCATTGGGCTATCTAAAACCAAGAATTCATCTCATGCTTGGAGGGGCATCTCTTCAAGTTTAAATAGACTTAGGCATAATGTTAAGTGGGTTCCATCCATTTTTGGGTAGATCCATGGCCATTGCAGGTCTCTATGTTGGACGCATTTGGCCATAACAAATACTAAGACTTGAGTCTACATCAATGTTCGCAAAACTGGCCAGTCTAACCGCTAACCGGCTGGTTAGATCGCAACCAGCCAACGACTGGTTCCGGTTTTGGCCAGTTTTGGTGGTCACCCAGTATTTTAAACTTTAAATATAATACTACTTCAAATTTATATCAAATACATTAGAATGGTTTATTGGCTAGCTTTGATGATTGGTTCTTATATGAATCAAGGTTCAAATCCCACCGCCGAAGTTTTCTTTTAAGAATAAATTCTCGTTTCGTTCATAAATTCTCGTTTCGTTCATAAATTCATTTTGTGGGTGTTGTTTTCTTTTAAGAATTCGTTTCGTTCATAAATTCACTTCGTGGGTTCCTAGAATCCTCTTTGAATGAAGTCCTCTTTTACACCACTAACGTCCTTTATTACACCACTAACCATATGCCATTTACCACTTAGTTGATAGAAATAAAGGCTTATATTATATATAACATAATTTTTTTCTTCATTTTCTTTTAAAAAAAAAATCCCTAATTTTTTTCTTCATTTTCTTTAAAAAAACAAAGATCATTTACCTAAAACAAGGGATTATTTTCTTTAAAAAAAAAAGATCATTTTCTTTAAAAAAAGAGTTGGTTAAGTCGATTTCTTTAACACTATTTTAATATTCTTTACATTATGGTAAAGATTAAAAAATATTTTGGTCATTGATACTCATTTTTATATTTTCCTATCTTTTCAGAAAAATTTTAAAAAACCTCTAGGCACAAATCGACTCATTATAATTTTTGTTCTTCATTTTCTTAAAAAAAAAAAAAGATCATTTTCTTAAAAAAATAGATCATTTTCTTTAAAAAAAAAAAGATCATTTTCTTTAAAAAAAGAGTTGGTTAAGTCGATTTTTTTAACACTATTTTAATATTCTTTACGTTATGGTAAAGATTAAAAAATATTTTGGTCATTGATACTCATTTTTATATTTTCCTATCCTTTCAGAAAATTTAAAAAACAACCTCTAGGCACAAATCGACTCGTTAAAATCCATTTTTTCATTAATTTTCA